GCTCGGGGGCCGCGGCCCAGGCCGCGCCGCCGCCGTCGGCAGGCGCCACCGCCCCCCAGTCGCCACCGGGCTCGGCGGCGGCCTCGGGCTGCGGCGCCTCGTGCTGCTGCTCAATTTCCGGCTCAATCTGCTGCTGCTGCTGAGAGGCGGGCGCCGCGGCGGCAGCCGGTGCCAGCTTTGCCTGGGGGCGCAGGGGCGCGGACAGGGGCATTGACTAAATCGGGCTGAACCCTGGGGCACGCACCCCAACACATCGATCGCCGGTGCAATGACGGCTGTGCCGTCATACACCTTCACACCCAGAACACGGACATGTGTCGCTGATCCACACCAGAAAGCTTGCAACAATGCGGCCTGGAAACCGCGCTCACCTCTTTCAAAAGGCTCGCGAACGACTTGCCAGCTGCGGCTCCGGCGCCCCACGTGGCGCCGCCGCTTCCATTGGTGGCAGGCGCGGCGGGAACAGCTGCCGGCGCTGCCGCCGGCGCCGCGCCCCATGAGGCGCCGCCGCTCGCTGGCGCGCTCTCCCCCCAGCCGCCGCCGTCGGCGGCAGGCGGCGCCGCGGCTTCTCCCCAACCGGCGTCGGCGGCGGCGACAGCGGCGCTCCCCCACTGGTCGTGCCTGTGCCATGCAAGAGTAGTCCGGAGAGTCAGCGCCATGGACCCTGGTGCTTTTGAAGCCAACCCACAATGCAAGGTGATGCCAGGACAGCAGGCGGGCTAGCGCATGCCAGCCGGCAGCCGCATGCACGATCGTGCGGGCTGTGCCCTCACCTCGCGTCGTCGGTGGGCGATGCACTGCTGGCGGCGGCGGTGGCTGCGCTTCCGCCCCCCCGCCCGCCGCGCCCGCCGCGGCCCCCCGCTGCGCCGCCCCGAGGCGCCCCTGCCGAGCAGAGCGCGGTGATCCGGTTGTGGTGAGGGGTGCAAGCGAGCGGCGCTTTCAACGCGTGGTAAGCCACCCCCAAATCAAGATGGCAATCCAACATATGCAAGTGTTTTGTCGCTAGGCGTGCAGGCGCACCTCGTCCGAAGTCGTCCCGGTAGCCGCCACGGCCCGCGCTCGCAGTGCTCTGCGCCGCGCGCCGCGCGGCCTCGAGCTTGCGGGCGGCTTCGGCCTCCTTGCGTCTGGCCTCCTCAGCCTGCGTGTTGTGATGTCGGCAAGAGATTGTGGGTTGAGGGCCGATCGGCGCACGTGGGACCAGCCGCCGCGCGAGCAGGGCGCCGGCTGCTGCGTCTGCAAGCGCACTGCATGCGCGGGTCCGCCTCGACCGCGCGCGCACCTCTCGCCGCTTCTCTTGCTTGGTCTTGACCCGCTCGAAGGGGTCTGCGTGGGCAACCGGGGCGGCAGCGGCTTCAGGAGGGCGAGCAGAGGCGCCTGGCGGGAACTGATCTGGCGCGACCGCCGGCAAACAGGACTGTGATGTGTGTGAAGCTGTTCAAAAACTCACTCGTGAGAAGCTTTTCTGTAGCCTCGTTCGCGTCGCCTCCGCACAAGGCGAGCATAGCCGCGATGTCTTCATCGGAGGCCCCGGTGGCCTCCCGAATCGCAGCCAGCACCTTGGAGGCCGCTAGGGACGGCTTGTCGCCGCCCCTAGCCACGCGGGCGGCCATGGCTGTGCGTGAAGAGCCGATCTGGACGACGTGTGCTTGGAGCTAACCACACGCTTAAACACGGCTTTAAGTTCACGACAAACAAAATCATTATGCCCCTGCGGAGACAGGACACCAGCGTGAGGCGGGACCTGCTGAGTGCCCGCACAGTCGGCCGCAGGCGCCCTCGCAGCGGCTGCCCCAGCCCATGACGCTGCCTACCCGTGCAGCTCAACAGCTGGGGATCATGATATGAGATGATATGATGTATTTTCAACGCCTGAAGCGCCGTGTGTGCCCCTTTCCCTCACACTGCATGGTACCCATGCCCTCGTGCTGACTGTGTGTGTCGAACAAGGGGGCCAGATTGCGCAGTACATTTGGCTTGGCAGGGGCGCATCACCACACACAGCGCGCTCAGCAGTGGAATGGGTTTGGCCACCTGCTGCTGGCGCCCTCCAAGCGCCCAACTAAGTCACGCCGGCCCAGTCCATTCGGTCGTCATGATGAATCTGGACTGCCGGCATCCAACCCTGCCGGTCACAGGAGCGATGACCAGTGACTGATGATTCTGACGAGTCCATACTCAAAGAACCTGCAAATATTTACTCCGGGTATCATGCCTTGGGGCGTTGTGTGGGACCCAACTAGTGCACATTGGCAAAGAATGGCACGACCCCAGGCAAGCACGTTTGACTTGGCCTGCGTTCACGCACTCGCCCACACTCGCCCAAAGGACAGATAGTCAAAACAGCAGGTTTGTCAATAGATGCAACAAAAGAACGGCTGCCAAAAGAGGGTTGGCAAAAACCTTTGTTCATCCCGGCAGTGAACGCAGTTCAGCTCGTGTTCAGGCAGTGCCGCTCAGTGGCGGCATAAACGAGCGTGTGTGGTGCAACCACAAACGAGCAGCATATCATTGCAACTAGGATGTGCGTGCGTTGATACAATGGCTCTCAATGTACAAAAACAAACAGTAGTTGCCTGGCTTGTCCACAGGTCGCCCCGCCCCCTTCCCGTCCTGCTGCACAACTCATTGAACGGCTGACATACGGCCCCAGCTTCGGCAGCTGCGCACCCAACAGCACCCCCAACAGCACCTTTCCAGTGCCGCCACCGGCAGCCGCCGCACCCGCTGCAGACAGCCTTAGCCACTGTGACCAGCCGCGCCCAGCCGCACGCACAGCACGCACGCACTCCCCCTCAGGCGCCTCCCGCCTCGGGGTAAGACCTGAGCTCCAGCGTCACGCCCTCTGGCGTCCGCACGTACACGCTGAGCGCGACGCCGCGCGCCCCGAATCGCCGCACGACCGTCCCCCCGTCGAACTGCACCAGCGGCTCGGCGCCGGCCTCCCGCAGCTTCCGCTCGACTTCCTTCATGTCCTGGCCGTCCTCCAGCGCGAGGCACATGTGGTCGAGCTGGCCGCTGGCCGGCGCCGCGACGGCCTGCGGGGCGTCGGGCGGCGGCGGCGCGGGCTTGGGCGTGCCGGCGTCCGCGGGGTCGGTGGTGGACGAGGTGGCGGCGGCGCCGCCGGCCGCGGAGCGCGCGCCCGCGGCGATGCGCGCCATCTCCTCGCCGGCGAAGTCGATGATGAAGCTGGGGGACACGCGGACGCTGGGGAAGGGCGCCTTGCCGGCCTTGAATTCCTCCAGCTGCGTTTGGGGAGGTTGGGATAGCGTGGTGGGATCATCCGGGGGGACGTTTGGGAGGACTTAGTGTGTCTGGGAGCATTGCACCGCCCAGCATGCACGTGCACATGTCACGCCTTGTGTGATTTGACTGATCGAGGGCAAACAGGTCTAGCACGTGTCAGCATGCGAGGACGGATACGAGATAGCTGGCTGTAATGTGGCGCGGAACCAGCAAGGGGGGGGGGGGCGCCCAGACGAAATCGCACGTGGATCTGGCCCTGCAGCCTCACCCTTAGCGTCGATAGGCCAACGACTCTGGACCACCACTCTGCAGAAGCCACCGGGTCTGCTGATCGGATCACAACGTGGTCAGGACCCACGACGCGGACGCCAGCAGCGGCCATGGCGGTGCCGCGGCGCCTGAGGGGCAGCTGCTGCGCGCGTCTCGGCGTGGCTGGGCCGGAGCTGTAGCAGTCCCGCGTGGGAGCAGCAGAGCGATAAGAAGCGATGGGAAGCAACTGAACGTGCCCGTGGGTGATCGTCGTGCAAGACAGTCTACGGTGCATGGTACAGTAGGCACGATGAATTCTTGTGACGACCTGCTGCAAGAACTTAACTCCTTACTGTGAATATTTACCCACTAACTGCGTGCAAGGGCTCCACACTGGTGACTCACGGGTGACGGGCGTTGACTGTGCGATGAGGACCACGTTGCGGCAGCACCCCAGATCAGTGATGAAGTTGGCAAAGGCCTGCACTACTGCATGCTGTGCCAAACTTCTGGTGTCATCTTACAAGGTTCCAGGCAGCATTTAGTGACAGTCACCCAGCAAATTGGCCTCCTGCTCGTGCTGCTGCCCCTACTGCCCACCACCCGGCTGCCTACCACCCGGGCCCGTCACTCCCCTCAGCCTCGGGAATGCTCCCCTCAGACGCCAGGTCGTCCCCCTCCAGCTCCTGCCTGGTGACGGGGTTGTGGATCATGCTCCCTCCCCCGTCGCTGCCATCGCCCCAGTAGCAGCCGATTGTGTTGTGCCACACAAACCGCGCCCCCTCGCAGGCCGCCGACTCCGCCTCAATCCTCACCAGCGCGTTGTGCACCTCGCGGTAGCTCATGCCCTCGCAATGCACTTGCATATTGACAGCGCGCACGCGCTGGAGGCACGGGTGGCCGCTCAGCAGCAGCCCGAGCGCCGCCACGGCGCCCCGGCCCCAATGGCAACACTCCAGCTGCAGCTGCCGCAGGCTCGGCAGCGCCGCCGCGAGCGCCAGCGCGCGATCTGCGTGATCCGAGCGGACCTCGAGGCGCTCCACACGTGAGAGGCCGGTCACAACGGCAACAGCGGGCTCGGGAATGCCGATCGGAAGCCGCAGGCTGCGCACGCTCGGGAACACTGCCCCGAGGTCGCACCGCCGCGCCTCCCCGGCCGGCGACGCGCCCTCCGTCAGCCCCAGGCGCAGCCGCGTCACGCCCGGCAGCGCGGGCGGCGGGCCGTGCCCCGGACCCAGCTGCAGGGTCAGCAGGTTGACAGCGAGGCTGCGCAGCGTCCTCGGCAGCCCTGCCAGCTCAGCCGGCAGGAGCCCGCACCGCTCGGCGCCATCCCGCTCGTACTTGAGGCCAAAGTGCTGCAGCCGCGGCAGCGCGCCGGCCGGCGGCAGCGGCGTCGCCCAAGCGTCAAAGTGGCGGATCGTGACCCTATTGAAGTCCACTCGCTCCAAGCTGTGCGGCAGCGCGGCCCAAAAGCTCAGCCACGCCTCCCTGCTCAGCGGGCACGCCGACAGGTGGCTGCCCTTGAGACTGAGCACCTCCAGGCGGGTGCAGCCGCGCAGCGCGTCGCGCCACGCGTGCTTGTTGGCGCCGTAGCACACGCCCTCCCCCACCTCTAGCCGAACAAGGCCCGGCGGGAGCGCCCCCGCGCCAGCGCCCGCGCTCGCTGCGTCGCCTCCGCCGCCAGGGCTTCTGCCGCCGCCGACGTCCCAGAGCACCCAGCCGCTGAGCTGGACCTCCCTCAGCCGCGCCAGGCCCGCCAGCGGCGCAAGGCAGAGCCGGCCGAGCAGCTGGTCCGAGCGGCGCGGCCAGACGAGCCGCAGCTTTGTCAGAGAGCTGAGGCCCGCCATGGGGGCCAGGGCGCCTCCTGCCAGGGGCACGCCGCAGATGCTGAGCTCCCTGAGGCCGGACAGGCGCGCGAGCGGCCGCAGCGCGGGGCCGAGGGGGGATGCGTGGCGGATGGGGTCGCCCTCGCGGGTGATGCTGAGCGCCTGCAGCCGCGGCCAGTGCCTGCGGGGGGAGGAGCAAGGGGGGCCCGGGGGGCCGCGGTCGGGAGGCGGGGGTAGTAACAGGTGCATCGGAAGCTGCGGCGCGCAGGCGTGCTGGGTTGCAGGACGGCCGCGTGGCGTGCGGGGCTGGACGCCCTATGTCATGCAGCGTGACCGGCGCGCCCATGGCATGACCCCGACACAATCGCGCGGGCCCGCTTGCGGGCGGTGCAGCTACCTGGCAGCTGCCTTCAGGACGTCGGCCACCTCCCTGGTGTCGCCCTCCACGGCGCCGATCCACAGCTCCCGCACAAAGGGCGTCCTGTGCGGCAGCCCTGACGCCAGCGCGGCGGATACTGAGGACCACAGGCCGTCCAGCTCAGCGCGCAGCAGCCCGGGCTCTGGTGCACCATCGCCCCCGCCGGCGCCGCCGCCGGCGCCGTGGGCGATGCTGCGCTGCCCCTCGACGCGGCTCGGCAGGGGTGCCCATTTGTGCGCCCCGTCGAAGCACGCGGCCGGCAGTAGCACGCGGGTTGTGGCGGCGCAGCGCGCCTCGCGCCACGCCCTGCAGACGAGGGCGGCTGCCGCCGTGGCTCCGACCAAGTCACTCGGTGCAAGCGCTTCAAACACCCCCGCGCCGATAGGGCCGCGCAGCAGGTCTGCCCACCCCTGAGGAACAGCTACAGCTACATTTACGGTCGTCATTGTAGCACGTGAGATGCTTCACGTTGTAACATCATCAAATTGTACGTGGGGCTGCGTGAGCACAGTCGACCCGCAATAGCCGGCGACAACATCAACTGTTGATGGTGCAGGAATATTATGTTGTAATGGATGCAAAGCAAACGCTGGAGACGGGGCAGAATAGCTACCCGTACCTGGCTGTTGAGTTTTCCTGTCAATGAGTCAACTCGTCCTGCAACCAGGTGCGCCAAAGCTTGAGCTGACAGGGGGCGTGCCAGCGGTCGGCGGCGCCGCTGCTGTCGCATGCGTCGCGACTCACAGAAGCGCCTTCAGCGTCCACAAGCCGCAGTCGCCCTGAGGTCAAAGGGAGGCCTGCATGCGTCGGCCTCCATGCGTCCGCATGCGTTCGCACCAACAGTACATAAAGCAGTCCTGGGGCCACCACCGGTGCAGCCGTGCTCCAGCCCAATGAGGACTGGGGTGCGAGAGACACGCAGCACAGGGCGACGTAGGATTGAGGGCCCATGCGACGCGGCTGATTTTTGTCAGCGCCCTGGGCCGCGCCATGCAGCCCAGGGCGCTCGCTGACAGGGCTCGACCGTCGATGACAGGGGCGGCGCCGGCAAAGCCGACGCGCAGCCCACAAGAATGGGATTCGAAGTTGCCCGATCGCGCGAGGAGGGCGAGGGGACCGCAGCGCGGGGCCGCGGAGCAGCGGGCAGGTCGGGGCACCGGCCGCGAGGGATCTCGGGCGCCCGCGGCCGCAGTCGTGGCCGCCGCGCCGCCCACGTCCTGTGCGTCGGTCCGGGCCAGCGCCACAAAGGCCATCGCGCTGAGTGCGCCACGCGGCAGGCCTGCCCATCCCCAGGGGTCCGCCCACTCCAAGCGATTGATTGCTCAAAGGCAGCTGAGGGCAGTTTTGGAGTGAGTCGCTGGATATCTGGGGGGCCTCCACTCTATCTGTGCAGGCCCCAGCCGCCCTCCGTCCACACTCACGCCACCTGTGCATGCAACGGCCGCCGTGCCGGCCGCTGCTCAGATGGGGGAACCAGCAGATCGCGCACGCCTAGGTTCATGTTACGGCATCGCTGTCCAGCGGGCGGTGCGGCGCCATGGGGGTTAGTGTGTGTGTGGAGGGGATGCTGTAACCCTGAGCGCATCGCTGCCCAGGGGAAGCCCATGCCGCCGGCCCCCTCTGAGAGTGGGTGGTGCGACAGTGCAGGGCCCAATCTCAGAACCTAGGGCATTTGGAAAGCTGACTTGGTTTGGCGGGGGGGGGGGGGCGGTAGCCGCAAAGCTCTGCAGCCGACTCACTCAAGGCCCCCTCCAAACGCTCGCTGGGGCAATCCCCCACCAGTCCGTTCAGCACTCCCCCGTGTTACGGCTTGTCACTTATATATATGTTACAGTTTCAGGCGGCAAGGGGGCCTTGCGCCACGGGCGCAAGTCAGCGCCGGCGGCCGCGCCGAAAGGCCGGCAGGGTTCCATATACACGCCCCCGCCGTTGAACAACGGGGCGCGAGCGGCGCGCGCCCATGCAGTGCGGGTCTGCGCAGACGCAGAGCGAGCGGCCGCTGCGCCGACCCCGAGGCGGGCCGGCGCCTCGGCCCGCGACAACAACAGCCGGGGGCGCCGCGACACGCCCGCCCGGTCTGCCCCCGCCCTCCGGGTCGCCCGCTAGCGGCCAGGGCAAAACGTAGGCCGCGATGCCCCCTCACCCATCAC